GTATGGACTAATTAAATTGTGTTTTTGGGGTTTGTATCCACTTCTATGTAGAGTGCGACAATTGTTCGTTTGTCAAATATCGATGTAAAAATATTTGTTTGGGATCGTCTATAAATTATGTAACGCAAACTTTTACAATAAAATTAACAAAAACGGTCAAAAGTTTTCCTTCGCAGAGTCTTAACTTAAATAAAAAATTAAAATATCCCATTAAGTTTAATGAAAATCGCCGCGTAAAATAGCTTAATACTACTTCTGTTTTTTAAATATATTTTACGTTGATAAATTTATGGGCGATCCTTAAACAAACAATATTTGTTCGATGAAAGTTATTTGTTTATTTGTTAAGCGAATTTTATTTGTTAAACAAATATTATTAGTTAAAACGAATATAAAATAAAAATAATTTGTATTTTACAAATATATTGTTATATTTTATTTTTATACATTTTATTTTTTAACATTTGTAAATGTTGAACAAACATATCGATATGTTTGTTTAAAGTATAAATCAAAATACCGATATCACAATACCGACATCATAATACCGATATCATAATACCGATATCATAATACCGATATCACATTACCGATATCACAATACCGATATCGGTATTGTGATTTATACTTTTCCAGTTAATTACGGAGTCACGTTATACTAACAACCTGCAGGTCACGATCCATTTTTTGCCGCCCCCTACACATGCTGGTGGAGACGTTTTAGCATCATGATTTAAAAATAAAAGTACAAGTGTTAAAAAAGAACTGTTAGAAAGACGACATATAGGAGACGGAACAATCATTTTTAAAAAAGTCTTTTTAAAAGTCTTTTAAAAAAATTTTTAAAGACAACGTGACATCATTTAAGACGTAAAAGATGCACCTCATTTCATTAAAACTTTAACTAAGCATCATTTGTCTCTTTGTATGTCAAAGTTTTATAAGCGGGAAAAAAATTTTATCCGCTTTTTTTTTCATTTCTAGTACTTTTCATAATAATATAATCTAATTGTTACATTATATATTGTTATATATCACAATTTGTTGTATTTATCACAATTTATTATTGTTACTTTGCTTTATATAATAAGTAAAAAAATATAACTTATTAGTTTGTTTGTAATTTATAAATAATACTTTCTCGCTTATTATATATTATATAATGTAATAATTAAATTAATCATCAGCAAGATAAAGATAAATGAAGTTAGTTAAAACTAACTATTATTAGTGGCGATTTTCGGCGCAGATATTTCTTTCCTAACAAATCTTATCTGTTTATACTTATGATTTTCTTAAGGAATTTCCTTTCATTTACAATTGTCAATTTAGATAACACATTTTTATATTTTTTTTAGGTGCAAGCTACCTTTCTTCATAAAATGCCCAGAAAGTCTTGTAATTGGAATTCCTTTGATATGTCTGATACTACTTGTGCAAAGTTTAATGTGTGCAAAAAGTACTTGTTGCTAAAGCCGGTACTACTTTAGATCTTGTTAATCGTTTAAAAGGGCAACACTTTCAATATTTTTTAGAATACGAGAAACTCAATTATGTCCAACAAATTGCAAAAAAACCTCTCGTTTATGATGATAACAACTCTTCAGAAACCAATTTCATCAGTACACCCAAACTAGCTCGTCTTGTTACTTCTCCTAATTTGTACCATACATTTTTACATCATCTGGTGAATCTAGAACTGCTAAAGCGTCTAAAACTTTTGGTGTAAAACACTCCATGGCTATTGAAAAATGTAAATATAGTTACATCATTGACTTGGATCCTACACAACCAATTATCTTTTAGGGTATTGGATAAGAAAAATTTTTATGAAATAATGAAGCAAGCAACGAAGGAGAAGTATAACCCTGTTTCATCAAAATATTTTTCTCATGACAGAACTCCTAAATTTTATAAATTTATTAGTGATAAATTTATTAGAAAAACTAGACTGAGCTGATTATCAGATACATCTAATTGTAACACAAGCTCTAGTTAGTGTTCCTGAGTGGCTTGAAATTTTACTGAAGCTAATCAAAAATTAGTTAGGCACTTCAGTCATTCTTAATAAGCTTCGAGTATTTTGAGAAAAATTGCTATTAAGCATAAGCAACCAAAAACTAGACTTATCCAAAAAGTACTAACTCGTTGGAATTCTGACCTGAGGCAGTTAAAATCCATTATCAATCTAAACAAGTGTTCCGCTATAATGTCAGAAAGGTCAACTGAAATTGAAGGTACGATGCCCACTGTTGAAGAAGCTAATATCATTAATGGAATTATTGAATTTCTTGATCCAATTGATAAAATTTCACAAGTTTTAAGCTCTGACAACGACCCAATAATTAACTTGGTGATACTAAAAATCTATAATTTTAATAAAAATTAAGTTCACTTACAGGTTTCACGAATATAACTCAAGTTCAAATAGCAGGATTTCAACAACGTTTTCCTGATTGTGGTCATAAAGTACCTGAGTATTCAATGGCATATTTTCTTGATCCAAAACAAAAGAGTTCAATCATTTTTACACTTGCTGAGAAAAGATATAAAAACATCAAAGATACCGTTAGACAAGTCATAATTGATATGCGCCGAAGATATGTGCGCAAAAGTCCTATATGCATTGAAAAATCTAACCAGCCATCAGAAAATGATGATTCGTCCGATGAAGAAGCTGTAACTGGTGTTGTAAAGAAGCTATAGGGCCAAAATAAAAATAAAAACAAAGAGAAAAATTGTCCGTTAACTTATGCCAAACGGCACGTTATTTGATAAAGGAGTTGCAAACAACAATGCTGATACCATTGAATATTGGAAGATCGACCGTACAAGATTTTCTTATCTCAGCAGAATAGCAGGGAAGATCTTGCGTATCCCTGTATTATCAGCTACCTCAGAACGAGTATTTTTAACTGCTGGAAAACTTTTATCGGAAAGAAGAAAAAAAAATTTTGGCATTGACAATATTGAAATTATGGTTTTCATTAAAGAAAACTTGAAGGAGATGCAAAATATCACCAGGCCGATGTATGAAAAAGATAACAATAAAAAATAAGAAAATATGTACAAAAAATATATTTTCCTACACATAATAAACTTTTTTTTTTTTCATTGTTGTTTTTAATGAAATTTTGTTTTAACTATTATGAAACGTTGATAATATTTCCATCAAAAGTTCTGTAACAAGTAGATAGATCACAGGATAACAATAAAAATTTTAAAAATATGTGAAAAACTTTATTTAACACCGACTTTGGCGATGTGGCATAAATAAATCTGAAAAATGTTGTACATATATCTAAGTGACTAATATACTAAATTTAACGTCTTGTTTTTTTAACGAGTATATTCACTACCGCTTATTCGCTTAACGAATATTTATTCGTGCAACGAATAAGCGGGAACGAATATGTTTGTTTAACGAATATTCGTAAAACATTTATATGTTGAACAATATTATTCGTTCAGTAATCGTTCAACGAAAGATATGAAAGCGAACAAATATTCGTAATCGTTGAACAATTAATCTTTTAAAAACTCGTTTATCAAATAATAGTCGCGCTCTAAATCTATATTTATTGAGAAAAGAATTAAACAGAAGCTTGAATTAAAAAATAAAATTTGTTTGCTTGCATGGCCGTAGAAAACATTTACAAGGTATTTGAAATAAAATTATAAACAAAAATTTAAAACTTCAAGTTTTAAACTAAAAACAGCCTTTTTTCATATTTGTTAAAGCTATCCCATATTTCTTCAAACTATCAGGCATATGGTTTCAAGTCATATTTAATTATTAACGTTTGAAATGTAGAAAAGAAACAACAGATGATCTATTGATGTATTATACGATCTTCTCCGTTTATTAAATTTAGGATAAATAAAAACATTTACAAAATGCTTAAACAAGTGTTTTAATTATATAGCCATTATGAAAAACGATTACAAACATTTTAAGCAACTCTCAACATTCTTAAATTAATTTTTAGTTATTTACTATTAACTAATGTTAATTTGTGTCACAGGTTAAGGGAGCGGAGAATGTTAATTTGTGTCACAGGTTAACGAGAATATTTTACAAAAGTTGCGTAAAGCAACTTTTATGAAACTTTGATTAAGTAAAAATAGTTTTTTTATATATTTGTCAATTGTCAATTTGTATAGCTTATTGCTCATACTTGTTAAAAAATGTTTTAAACGTTGAAAGTATACAAATAAAATATATTACTCGAGTAGGTTAATGATTTTTTGGATTAAGTAACACACATGATTAAACCAGTGACGGATTCTGGAAAATATGAATCTCTTCCTCCCTTCCCCCTTCTCCACCAGAATCTGAAAGTCCTAAAATTTCTTAGAAACGAAGGACCTTTTTTTTTATTATTATTATTTTGAGACGCAAATATGATAAAAAATACAAAAATGTTTTAACAATTCCCCCCTTCCCCACTACTTAAAATTTCTGGATCCGTCACTGGATTTTCATTCTAGATACCTAGATTGAACATTGGCAAGTATTTTTAATCAAAAACAACTTTTTTTTTTCCAAAAAGCAGCTTAAAAATTTTACATAAAAAATTTCTTAGCAATAAGCAATTTGAAACTTTACATTAAAAACCTCTTCGTGATAATCAAAGGTTTAGCATACAGTATCGGGGTAAAATACTTTATATGTCAAGATTAAGTTTCATTCTCGTCAGAAATTGTGGTTCAAAAATAGAAAAATATAAGTATAATATTTTATTTAATATTACTGGGAAAAAAAAATTATTAAAAAAAAACTTGCTAACTATTCGTTTACTAGATTTTTTTTGTAGTACTTACACTTTTATTGGACTGAGACAAAAAGAAACCATTTAATTCCTCGGCTCCCGGCTTTTTAATACAAATAAGTTCAAAGACATCTGCGAAGAAGATCGTTTACTTATTTAAAAATTCATGTTTTCTTTAGTTTCATTCTCATTGAACCTTTTTTTCTTTTTTTAAAAAACTTTCTTTTATTTTTCAATAGTCTATGAAAACCAGTAAATTTATTACGCTGTAAAAAACAAAGTATTTAGAGAATCGACCTTACAGAAAAAGTTAAGAGAGTTTAAACAGAATATGAGTGTAAGTTTTTGTATTTACTCTTTTTTAATTTTTGGAATATTTAAAATCCAATGTCTACCATCCGATCAAGATCTTATATTGGCAGCAAAAATATTTTCTGACCTTCTTCATCTCAACACAAATAAAGTAACAAACTATGAAGAACTCGATAAAGACTTTAACGCAATCTTTAATAATCTTGATATTAGGAGTAGGGATTTAAAGAATCTAACAGACGATTTTAAAACAAGAGTCGAAAATTTTTTTTTCCAAAAAGAAAAGATTATTCGAAAACTCACAAACACGACTAGCTATTTAGAAGAAAACTACAAATATGATCCAAATATTAACTATCCCAATGTTCCAAATGTGCGTGATATTAACTCAAGTCCAAATGAGTCAATTATAGCGTTTGATCCTTCATACCCGGCAAAAATAGAAATCAACTTAACAAAAAGTTTTGTTCAAGTGCCAACAAATATATATGCTAACAGTGTAGATATTTTAAATGCTGTTAAACGTACAGAAAATCTCGATGTTGTTTTTAAGGAAAACCGAGCGGAGGACAGCTCTTTGATTCTCCAATACTACGGTGACTCGACAGGTACATTTATATTTTGAGATTTTTTTTCAATTTCATATTAGATATAATTGAAATAGTACATAAATGAAATCAGAGCCTTGGTTAGGTTACCCGCACCCCTAATTGAGTTGGTGGTGGTGGTAGTCGTGGTGGTGGTGGGGACCCATCAAATTAAGGGGACCGCTTGTTAAATTTAGCGGCTTTTCTTTGAATTTAAGGAACTTTTTTTTTTAGTATAACATCAAATGAAATTTTTAAGACTTTTTGGTCCCTAATAATAAGTTTTGGAGTTGGTCTCTGACCTACTAGCCACGGCACTGGATACAATATGGCATATAAAACAATAAATAGGTTTTTGCATAATGTAATTCCGAGAAACGACAAAGATTTAAAAGATTTAATGTTTTAAATTTATAAAGTATTTGTGGTTCAGTATCGTAGCGAGACGATGAGTCAAATTGGCTTTTGTCCAGGGCGCAATCTGTTAAAAGGGCGCAAAAAATAGATTTGCTACAATAAAAAAACGCAAAGTTATAACTTGCAAATAGTTTTAATAACTATTAATTTATTATTTAAAATTACATGGTTTCTTTGAATTAATTTCAACGTTCTTTTTTAAGAGTCCGGAGTCTTTTCAATAAAAGACCACAGCTGACAACTATAAACCTTTTCATGAGCATAACAACATAGGTCTGTCTTTCAATGTAAGTTTGATCACTTGAACGAAAATCATAAAAGAAAAAATATGATAAAAGATGCAACTAACAAGTGGAAGAACTCTAGAGCTAGACATGTTTTTGTCTTTTGAAACCAAAAACCTTTCTGATAACTATATTTTGAAACTAGGAGTTGATAGTTGTGGTGTTTTAAAGGATTTAAATCATGGAAAATACTTTAGCTCTGCAATCTTCCCATTTAAAACAACTTTTCACCAATTCCCTGGCTAAATATACCAGTGTCATTTGCTAATTGCCATTATTATTGATCTCAAAAAATATAATAGCAACATTAAACAAGTCTTCGATCTGTTTAACCTAGATAAACTTTTCTTTTGTTCATTCCTGAGATATGAAGATGGTTTAAGTAGTTTGCGGTCAACAAGAATATTCAGGAGCACACTCGTGTCTAACGCAATCATCAAGGCAAGTGAGTTCAAAAGTTCTATCCAACCACTTATCATTAATGCTTCTAATGAATTTTTTGTGCTGTATATACTTCTACAAATGAAGCTCCATCTTGGAATTCCATCTGTTGCTTGGAATTGTAAAAAATCTTCAAAACCTCTCTCCGAAATTTTAACACAATCTCTTAAATGGCTAGCTTTACTTTACACTCAATGACAGTCATTTCAAAGAGGTAAACTGGCTGGAAATAACATTGAAATGAATGGATTTCTTAGACATATTGGCCCAGCAGCATTTATGCTCAATATCTGATCCCTTATTGACAATTTAAGAAAGTTTACTTTTATCTTTTCTGTTTTTAATTTAAAATATTAGGGTAGAGTGGGGTAATCTGGGCCTTTTTTTAACTACTTTTAATTTTGAAAAAAAAAAAATTTATAACAAAATGATTTATTTTTTTAAAGAAAACTTAAAATCTTAAAATCATGATTTTACACTAAGGAGCACTAGTTTGAGTTGGATTCTATGGACCCATATTATCTCATTTAGTGAAGTAATGTGGGTATAAGTTACATTTTTATCTTTTTTCAATGAAATATACCAACTTATAGTAAATTATGACTGAATTTATTGAGTTATATTTAAATTATTTGATCAAAATTTTAAGCATAGTAGATGTTTTAAACGCAAACATAGTAGATCTTTAATAGATGTTTTAAACGCAAAAGAACTCGTTTAAAGCGTTGAAGTAGTTATACAAGTCAAAGATAAAATTATGTTTAAAGAAGAATTTAAAGCAAAAGCTTAAATGAAAATTATTCAAACTTTTTTGTGTTATATATTAGAGATTTATTACCCCACAAAAAGGACATGTTTATATAATATAAATTCAATGTGCAATTCTTCAAAATTGCTACGCTGCGTTATCGACTAGTTTTCATTGAAAACATAATATCTTTAATAATCATTTCAAAGAATCCATAGCAACATGACTGCAGAAAAATGAACCTAGAAACATAGTCAGGCTTTTAATTTATACTAATTTTCATTTTAAAGGTATTTAGTGTTGTACAAGCATTAGATTCTTAACGGGACAAAACACATTGACATAAAGACTCATTTTGTTTTTCTTTAAAATTAGTTGACTAAAAATAAATGTTGTAAACAACTTTTATGACAAAAAGTTTAAACTAATTTTATAAAATAATCTTATTCTTACACTGGTTACATAATTGGAACAACAATTTTGTTCCATAAATACGGTGCTCGATAGTTTATTCAAAATTGATTAAACTTTGTTATACAAAAGGGTTCAATTAATAAATTATTATTTCGTAAAGTATATTTGTTTATAGTTTTATGGGTAAACAGATCTTTGAAAATTAATATTGGTTGCTCATTTTTACAACGAAACATAAAACATAAAATATTATAGACATTGAGTAAAACGTTAAGTGCTTTAACGTTTTTAAATAAAAAATTTAAATGAGAATAACGATTTTCAAAACATATTAAACGCATTGCGTGTTTCTGACGATGGTAGAGATTTTTTAACTTACTTTTAGAGGTACTTCCACAAACAATATTTGCATAATTTATATAGCTATGAATAAATGAGTAGTAGAGTTGAATTAAATTTTGTTTACTTAGATAGTATCTGACCTTATATAGAATTCCAATACTTTTGGCCAATTTAGTAGAAATAAAGTTGATATGATACTTCCATGTAATATTTTCACCAATGTAAACGCCTAAAAATCTTGTGACAGACTCCTTTTTTATTTCAATTTTATCAATAAAAAGTTTAGGTAAGTTATTTGGTAAAAAACGCTTTTTTGCAAGAGAGTGGAAAAAGATCCATTTTGTTTAGTCAATGTTTAAAGTTAACTTGTTGCGCTTAAACCAGTTGGAGATGTGGTTGAGTTCTTTATTCATATTTGAAAAAAGCTCATATATGTCACTGTTTGACAGAAACAAATTAGTATTGTCCGCAAAAATGATACTCATAAGGTTAGAAGCTTTATTTAAATCATTTATATAGACTAAAAACAAAAGTGGGCCTAGAATAGAACCCTGTGGAACACCACATTTTATGTCAATTAATTTTTCATTTTTAAAATAATCTGCATAGAAAACAAATTGTTTTCTATTTTTCAAGTAACTTTTATACCATTTTATTAATTTGCCATTAATTCCATAAAATTTGAGTTATTTAAGTAGAATTTTGTGATCGACCGTATCGAGTACTTTTGATAGGTCAATGAAAATACCTAGTGTATATTGTGATCTACCAAATGAACAATTTTTTTTAAAACCGAATTGATTTTTATATAGAAGTTTATTTAGATTAAGGTAATTATATGTTTTATTATATATAATTCTTTCGAAAATTTTTGAGAAAGTTGAAAGAATTGAGATAGGGCGATAATTACTAATATTTGATTTTTTTCCGTTTTTGTATATAGGAGTAACTTTAGCTATTTTTAATTGGTTGGGGAATACACTTTGCTGTATAGATGCCCTGAAGACTTTATATAGAATATATTTTAAGTTTTTAAAGCAATCTATGACTATGTTGCCAACTATGACCGAGAATATTAATAATTAACCAGTAGTCTGGTAAAATAAACGACTCAAGACCTAGTGGCTGGTCTTTATCAATAAAAACTGCTTTTAGAAAGATTTCTATCCGTTTTTACTTCTAGTTTTAGTTCTATCCTATTCTATCCGTTTTTACATCTTTTTGGACCTTTGTTTGTTTTTGAATACAAAACTTTTTACCATTTTTATACTGTGATCTCGGTCAAAAGATACTAACGCCAGCACCAAACACATCTATGGTTTTGCCATTATTTGAATTTCACCTCTGCAGCAGACTCATTATACATCTGCCAATATTCTTATTGATCTAAAAGGTTTAAATTAAAAATAATGCAATGTAGATAAAATGAGATTTAAAATAACTTAATACATTTAATTTTGACAAGATAAAATCAAAGTGCAATTTCCATCGATTTCATTTTTACTATATTTCTACTGATTTTAAGAAAAGTCTCTCATTGGAAAAATAAATTGGCTCTAGAGTTATTTTCATTTAATTTTGCATCTCATTTTAAACCAATTTGCAAGCCATTGTTTTTAAACAATTTTTTTATGTATGACATAAACTATTCTTAAAATATAAGACTAAAATATCAAAACTTATGAAATTAAGTTTTGCCTAAAAAATTACAAAAAATTTTGTTTCCCTTTTGCTAATTTAAGGAGCTTTTTATTATAGCAAAATCTAGCTGTATTATTTGGGAGATTTTAAGACCCAAATGACACGTTTTTTTTGTTTTTGTTTTTGGGGGGAGGGGGGAGGGCCTCTGACCTGTTAGCCACGGCACTGCTAAAACCTGTTTTTTGTCGACTTAAAAAAATAGGTTGCCTGAGATACACTTTACTCAGAGCCAGTATATAAGGGGTGGCATGTGTGCGTGGGAGCCCGCAGAATTTTTTGATGTTCTAGATAGGACGCCTGATTACATTTGGCATAGGTATACATAAGTTTGGAGCTTGCATAAGCTCCAAACTTAAAAATATGTGATAGTGTCCTATCTGGAATATCAAAAAATCCTGCGGGCTCCCATGCATGTGTGTACATTGAGGGAAATTAAACCCTCTATACCAAACATCTTTTTATGTCGGCAAAGTTGGATCTTTTGTCAGAATTTTAACTTTTCTATTGATTAGATGGTAAGCTGTGTTTAATTAAAAAATTGATGTACGTACTTTTATATTGAACTCTCCCGGCCCCCGCCCCCCCCCCCCCCCATACGCTTTCGTACGCTTCTTGAAGACCTCCCCCCTCCCCTCCCCCCATACGCTTTCGTACGCTTCTTGAAGACCTCCCCC